GACATGGTTTATAGCTTTGTGAAGACTGAGGCAGAGTAGGCCCTAAGTAGCTTTTGTGCTTCATTGCTAGCTCACCATCTCCACTGAGCAGCCTGCAAAACTGCTGCTTTACCTTTTCCATCTGACATTATTTGTAGAACATATTATTATCTGCTCTGAATATGCATAACAGACCAGGCCATGCATAAATAACAGCATTTTTTTAAACCCAAAAATCTCTAATCAGCACATGAGCAACCTAGGTGAAATCTCCTTTGCCTGATGGGATTTGAATGCACATGTCCCAAAGGCCTAGAGAGTGCCTTACCCTCTAGGTCAGGAGTGTCCACTTCATTTGGTCCCATGGGGCTGGATTCAGACCACAGGTCTTCCCTGGGACAGATAACCTACCTCTGGTGATGATAGGTTGTAGGTACAGCTGCCAGAGCTACTGCATTGGCTTGGTTCCAGAGCTCGGGGTGAACGTTGCTACCATTCACCCCTGCCAATAGCTGATTTTTCATTTTGCCAAGGACAACCAAAGACCCTGAACTCAGCAAAAGGCAAGAGGATAGAGAGGCCAAGCAGCCACAGCATTCATCCTCGGGGTCCAGACCTACACCAACAAGCCCTGCAGGCCACCACTTAACCACTCCCGAGCTCCATATGGCCTGCGTGCAACCAGTTGGACAGCCTTGGTTTAGGTGATAAGAGTATTCATAGACTCATAGAAGTAGGGTCGGAAAGGACCTTGTAGATCTTCAAGTCCGACCCCCTGCCTGGGCAGGAGGAAAACTGGGCTCAAATGACCCCAGCCAGGTAGGCATCAAGCCTCTTTTTAAGGCCCCCCAGGGTAGGAGCCAGCACCACTTCCCTTGGAAGTTGGTTCCAGATCCTAGCCGTCCTGACTGTGAAGTAGTTCTTATGGATGTCTACTCTAAACCTACTCTCCAACAACTTGTGGCCGTTATTCCTTGTTATCCCAGGGGGCGCTAGGGGAAACAAGGTCTCCCCCAAACCCTTCTGGTCCCCGCTAGTGAGTTTATAGACGGTCACCAGGTCCCCCCTCAGCCTTCTCTTGTGAAGGCTGAACAGGTTCAGGTCCCGTAGCCTCTCCTTGTAGGGTCTGCCCTGCTGTCCCCGGATCATACGGGTGGCCCTCCTCTGGACCCTCTCAATGTTGTCCACATCCCTCTTGAAGTGGGGTGCCCAGAACTGGACACAGTACTCCAGCTGCGGCCTGACCAGTGTCACGTAGAGAGGGAGGCCTTGGCCCTACTTGAGATGCACCTATGGATGCACGATAGGGTCCGGTTGGCCCTGCCAGCTGTGACCTCGCATTGTCGGCCCACGTTCATCTTGGAGTCAGTGATGACTGACTCCATCAGATTGCCCTGCGTATCTTGCAGGGGCCCCACATTTCCCGGTGCCTTCTTCATCCTCCCTATACATTTGAAAAAGGACTTTTTATTATCTTTGATCTTGGACACTAGTCCTAGCTCTATGTCCACCTTAGCTTTCCTAACAGCCCCCCTACAGGCCCGAGCAGTGGAGGTATACTCTTCTTTGGAGATAGCACCCCCCTTCCACCGGGTGTACACCGCCTTTTTGGCAACCAGGCATTCCCGGACGTCCTTGGTGAGCCAGGGAGGCTTTTGGGCACTCTTGCCCCACTTGCTTCTTGTTGGGATCGTCATCCCTTGGGCCCTGAGTATCATCTCCTTAAGGAACGACCACTCATCTTGGGCACTGAGTTCCCCTGCCCTCGAGAACCCCAGTGCCTCTCCCACCAATCTCAACTCGGTGAAGCTGGCCCTCTTGAAATCTAGGGCTACTGCCTCGCTGCAAGCCCTTGTCACCCTGCGCTGGATGGTGAATTCCAGCAAGCGATGATCGCTATCACCCAGGGGGTCAAGGACCTGGAGCCCCCTTACCAGATCATCGCCTGTGGCCAGGACCAGGTCCAACAGGGCATTTCCTCTGGTGGGACTGTGCACCTCCTGGGTTAAGTGGAGGTCCTGCATCTCAGCCAGGAACCTCCTGGAATGGTCCGACCTGGCTGACTGCTTCTCCCAGCAGATGTCCGGGTAATTTAGATCACCCATGACAACTACATCCCTTGCCTTAAGTGCCTCTGCAAGCTGGCCCGAAAATTCCCGGTCCAGCTCCTCCCCTTGGTTGGGGGAGACTCCCACCGTTAAATCCCTCTCCCCCCGGTCCCCTTGTATCTCGACCCAGAGCACTTCAGCTTGCCCCTCCTCTGACCCCATTTTGCTGGCAGAGGATGTGTATTGCTCTTTGACATAGAGCGCCACACCCCCTCCCTTCCTTCCTTCTCTATCCCTCCTGGAGAGCCTATAGCTCCTAATGCTAACTGCTCAGTCGTGGGATGAATCCCACCACGTTTCTGTAAGCCCTACTATGTCTGGGTTTGAACTGGCTATTCTGCGGGCAAGTTCCTCCTGTTTGTTCCCCATACTACGAGCATTGGTATACAGGCATTTAAGGTATTCTGAGGCAGAGTGCTCTCAATCTCTCCTGTTGGAGTTGTTCCACTGTGCATGGAAGAATTAACTACTCAATGGGGCCACAGAGAAAGAAAAACTCTATAGCCCACTGTTTAGGGCACTGGAAGTGAGGTGGAGATCTGGGTTCCTGTTCCAACTCCAATAAATACTCAATAGAAAACAGTGAAATAGTCACTGGAAAACATATGGAAAACCAAGACTCTCACCTGCCATGTACATGACCTTAGCATTAAGCTAAAATTATTCTCCGTCTGGAAGGACTATTCATTGCAGCACTCAGATGGAAATGTTTAGACAGTGCCAGATTTCACAATCACCAAAGGCCAAAGCTCCACATCCTACAGATGTTTCCCCAGCTGTTGATGTGGATGAATGATGGATGGGCTACCATACTCCTCCTTTCAGGGAGGAGGAGGACATCATGACGACTATTTTAGTCAGATTTTTCATATTTTAATCAACAATCCAAAAGCTAAGGCAACTCACAATGGTTCATAAATTTCTGGAACTCTGTTGTATTAAATGAACTTTCTACGTGCAGGACTTGAGTATTTTGTAAGTTGGCATGGAGCAACTTGCAAGATTCAACACCACTGAAATTTGGGTAGGATTTGGAATCTGGGTTCTGCCATTCAAGCCTCTTTCCTGTTTATTTCTTCCTCCTGACTAAACGTCTTCTTTTCATCCCTTCACATTTGAGAACTTAAGTCTTGCACTCAGCCAGTTACAACAGATACTCGTTTTAGTAGCTTTGAGAAGCTGTGATTTCTTGTTGGGAGCTCTTGCTAAGACAGAAAGAGAAGAGCCCTGATTGAAGCACAGAAGGAAATGGAAAATTCCATCTTTACCCAGAAGATAAATTAGAAAAAGATCTCATTTTTCAACTAGTGAGGAATTTGCCTCAGCCTGCTGTGAAATATTATTCTGGAGACTAATTTCAGCTTTACCATTTCTGGTACTTTTTCTTTTCTACAAAATGCTAAAAAAGTTGAGTTTAGAAAAGATTCTGAAAGGTTCTTTATGTGTTGGAGATATTTACTAAACTGAAAATACAGAGCTAACTGCAAGTGCAGTACACAGTGACGGGGTGGGTGGGTGTAGTTCTATACAGGTCTGCATTCAGGCAACCTCAAACTCTCAGCACATCCCATACAAGCCCCCATGAACATGAAACACCCCTAGGGTGTTACTTCTGGTTGCACTGTTACTTGCAGAGGCTGCGGATCTAAGAGTTGGCCTCTTGATAAGCTCAACAACATACATCTTGGGGTGGACTGTGGCTTCTCCCACCACTTTGGGCCAATGTAGGCAGGCTGGTGTATTATCAGCTCCACCTCCACACATACACAGAACCATGTGCTACTCCCACCCCTGTATTGGAGCCATGATATAGAAAGAGCAGGAAGAGCCTTTAAAAACTATGGGCTCCTCTGGACAGATGGTGATGGGCCCATCCAGTGTCCAGAGTTTCAGAGATAACAAACTTTTAAGAGTGATGGAGCATTCATCCCTCACAGGTTTTGCTTTAGGCTCTTAGCAGACTTAGCAGGCCCCTCTGCATAAGTTATGCCTGGGCTTATATTATTATTATTATTATTATTAGGGACCTACCCAAATTGAGGTGGCAGACAGGCAATTTCATGGACCAATTATAACATCAGCCGCTATTTTTGTAGATTTATCACAGCACCCCCTTCCCTCCCCTCACTGATTGGCCAAGGGATGCTGGTGGTCTCACCCCTCAACTGCTGATTCACCAAAAGCAATGAAGTGCAGTGATTAATCTGCACCAGTCATGTGGCATGAGACTGCATATCTCAGGAAAGCTAAACTAGATCACAGCCAGAGCCCATCAGGCCCCATGCCAGCAGAGGCTGCAGATGTGACATCTGCAGAGCACACTGGATCTAAAGAAAGTACTCATCTGTTTCCTTCCATCTGCAGAAATCATGGCTGGTGTAGGAGTGAGAAAGAATTTACCAATGAATGGAGCCAGAAGTGCATCTTTCAGAAGGACAAGAGGGAAAAGGAAATCCCCAAGAGGTGGAAATGATTAAAAAGCAGACATTAGTAATCATGCCTTTAATAGTTTGTAAATATAATTTAAAAATTCCAGATGGCTAACGATACACATTTTTTGTACACACCTGACATCTGAAAATGAATGATGAGTCCACAATCTAGTTGTTCGGTTTCATCCCTTTTCTAACACACAAATTAAATTCTCACTCACTCTTGTATGCAACAGTTTTATGGGGAAAAAGAATCTTGTTTGATGTTCCTTCTTTTACTGACACAGCTGCTTTGCAGTTACAGCTGGACAACTAAAGGTCTCATTCAATAAAAAGGAAAAAAAACCTCTACATTCAAGCTAGCAGAAAAATACTGAAAGCTCTTTTTTCTCTCCCCACACACAAACTCCTCGTCCAAATAAACCAAAATAACATTGTCATTTCCTGTAAAACAAAAAACCTGCAAGTATACTTAGGCAACTCTTTTTTGGACCCAAGGCTTTATTAAACTTAAAACATCACAGTGAAATGATTCCTCTTCCAAAATGTTCAGTGTACAAACAGAATTCACATCTAAATGAACAAGGATGAAACATGCTCACCACAAAAAGCAAATTTCCCAACACAGGGCCTCCAATTAGGCTTCAAAAGCCTCATTTAAGAATCTAAATAAGCAGTTTGATTTCCAGAGTTCCTGCAGCTCCCATCAACTCAGTGAGAGCTGGGAATCACTCAACATTTCAGACTGAGGCTATTCCTCATTAGGTACCTAGAAATACTCAGAAGCCTACTTTTAGAAACCCAGATCTGAAAGTTATGGGCAAAGTATTTCCTACACAGGCATGTCTGAAGGAGCAGAAACCGAATCACTACAGAATCTCCATCAGAGGTTCCCAAGCACACACCTGCACCCATTCTGGCTTGTATAATTAGCATTCTACCTGGGCGTCCCTTAGCACTTAGTTCTTGGACTAAATCCTATGAAGTATTGACGGTCTTCACTCATGTGGAAGCCAATGGGAAATTAAGCTACTCAGCACTTTGCAGGATTAGGTTCTGAATAAGAAGCACTGAATAATGACTAGTTCTGTTGCCACTGAAGTCAATGCCAAGATTTTCACCGATTTCAATGGTAGCAGAATTAGGAAGACCTTAGGTAACACACCTCTCTCCTTGGCCATGCTGCATTGCTCCCACTTCCCAATCTAACCACCAGCAGAGCTAAGGTTGCTCCTAATCAGTGTTATTACAAGACTGGAGCTTGGGACAGCCTACACTTCCCTGGTGGTTAGACCATGGACAGAGAAGTGGAAAGCGGAGAGCGTGTGCTGGCCCAGCCAAAGTCTTTGACTTGTTACCTGGTGCACGTACCCAGACTACACAGAAAATCTCTGACCTAGAGTGAAACCAAAGAAGAAAGAACATAAAAATAAAGTGAAAATGTGAACCTTCTTGTTTTGGCTCCATCCCCTGCTGTTTTTGCTAGCAAATCCACTACAAGTGCCAATTAATCCCTAGCCAAATCCCCTCTTTCAGTCTTATGTACATACCCCCCTAAAAAAAAGTCACAACAACAAGTGCAAAGGCAAAGATAGCGCAGACTAGGAGTTCTGAAGATTGTAGCTGACTGACAGCTCGAGTGTGTTGATAAAAGTTGAAGCAGAGAGGTCTATCCTTCTCGGATAAAAACCTGTTTTACCAGCTTCTAATATACAGAGTGCCTAACCCAACATAAATAATTAGAGATTAATTAAAAATAATATATTATTCTAGATTTTTTTTAGTTGTCATGTAAAATCTCTATACTCTTGACATCTATGTGAACGACTCAAAATAAAAACAGGCACTTGCAATGCCTTCTCAAGCACTATTGTGATTTTTAAAGTACATGTATAGAAATTGAGCAAATGAGATTAATGCCTACAGTAGAAAGTTAGGGGAGCTCTTCATGGTGCTGGCTTTTTCAAGTCTCGGATCTGTTTAATCAAGTAGTTCTTCTCATCAGTGAACTGTTCATCGTCCGTCCGCTCTTTCTGGAAACTGCTTAGAAACTCAATTAGCTTGGGCTGATTTTTCAACAGGATCTCCACGATAGGCTGCGTTTTGTTTGGGCTGGCCACAAAAACCTAACATGCAAATAGAACCACACACACAGAAACAGAAACAGAAGAGAGGGTAAATAGTCAGAGCCACAACAGTGCCTTCAATCTTTTCTGTTGAGTTAGCTGGATCTGGGGTATCTGATTCTGTGCAATACACTATGCATCCACTGACTGCAGTGGGGAAATGCTGGGGGAGAGGCTGCAAAGCTGTTGGTGGCAAGTGCCTGATCCTGTGACCTGTTCTAGCTGACATTAAGGTCCAGAATGCTTCAGAACAGCCCCTCAGGTACTCTAAGGGCTGGCCACAGCTGCTCTATGACCAGGCCCTGTCTGTCCCTGACAACCTGTGCCTCAGGAGCTGCTAGGAGAGCACAGAACAGATTGCGCTAGCCCTATAGCAGTTGGAAAGACTCAAAAACCTTTGGGCCCCTTAGTGATGCCAAGAGCCTGCAGCAGGAAAGGGAATCCTTCCCTGAATGTGTGTGTATATATATATGGGAAAGCAGCAAGAGGTACATTACACTCGTTTTTGGTAACACTTCCCCTTGCTTTGCTCTTATTGTCGACAAAAAGTTTGATCAGAAACCCAGCTGTTGAGCGTTAGCTACAAACCCCCAGCTACCTCTACCTACCAGAGCCTGCAACATGAAATGTCACATAACTGAAACAAACAGGACAACGGAAGGGCCTTGTAGCCTTGTTGAAATGTCCCTATTAAACCAGACCTAAAATTAGACCAAGCAGCTTTGTTTTGGTTGGGAACCAACGTCATCCTCCGCCCTACCTAGACAGCTCTCATGAGCAGGCAGAGGATGGAAATTTACAAGAGCAGGCTCCTAGCCCCTCCCCTGAGCTCACAAGGACAGAGCCAAGAGGCGAAGCGGAGGGATGTTATGACATGCACACGTGTGCTGATCACTGCCAGCCCAGCCCCTGGGGCTTGTTCCTGGGTCAACCCGGTGAGAGGCTAGGATTTTTCCTTTGTAGTAACCATTCACTGTGCAGGTACAGAAGCTTTTCAGGATCTGGAAGAAAAATATTTTTATGCAATTTCTAAGACAAGTGCAATCTCCATTTGTTCGCCTCCTCCCCTTACTGTGACGGTGTTTCTTTAAAACATCTTACACCCCAGCTAGCTAAAGAAAAAACTTAACCTGACTGGATAGAAGCCAGTGGTGACAAGTTCTTCCCAGAGATCCCAGTGTGTTAGACCTATGTAAATGTCAGTCATTAATTCCACATCAGGGAAAATACAAGGTAGCAGCAAGAAGTGTTCTTGCATCTGGCTTCCAGTGGGGTTACCATAGAGGGTCAACAAAACACTGTGTCATATTTTGTGGAACTACATAAATAACTCAGCCACTCTGTATTCAACTAGAAGAAATTAAGGATAGACAGGACTGGAGACTGTCCAGGTTTCCTCCCAGCCTGGCAAACCAGAATAAAAGCAAACATCTGCTGACAATCAGATGGGCACTGCATTAGACAGAGCACACAAAGAACAGCAGGAAAAGAAAGGCTCTTCAGCGTGGTGGAGGAGGAGTCCGCACTGACTCCTGGGCAGATGTACCCTCCAACCCCAAGGAAAGCCAGCCAGGAATCTAGAGACAAGGAGGGGCTATGCCAGCCTTCACTATATCCCAAGCTGCAGGTCTGTAGCCACCAGCTGCCTGCTTGCACAAATCTAGTCCTTTTTTTCTGAAGATTCACGTCTTTAATACCTAAAAACCCTTAGTGGCCACTGCCTGTAAACTTCTGAGTCAGTGCAGGGCCCCTTCAGAGCAACCACTCCTAACAACAATTTCCTTGCCTGAAGCTCAAAATACAGCATCGTATTAGAGACGCATTTATCCATCAGAGATGTAGTCAAGTCACAGCCCCCCTGAGTGCACCAAGAGCTCCAGACAACAATTTACTCAGCCACTGCCTTGATCATTTAAAAACAACATTCCTTCCAAGACAAGAACACATGATATTCTACAAATGGTATGTTATTTCCTGCAGTTTTCATAAACAGATGTATTGTTTACCAGAGCATAACCTACTGGTGTGTGTCTGTTCTATGTCCCCTCTCTGGGCCCCAACCCACTGGGACCAGGAATTAACACACAACTTCAGCATGAACCGTAGCAGCTCTGGAAAACCCTGTATCGGTTCTCTGTTTGCTGGCCATGGAGTGTTCATCACAAGAGTGCAATATCAATTGATTTACACTGCCCCACATTTTTAGAACCTACGAGTGATTAAGGTGCCTAAATGGAGACATGTTATAAGGGCCTGACCTTCTACTCTGCTGAGTAATCATCCTTCAAGACAACTCAAGTATGCATATTTTATCTATACACACACACACACACACACACACACACACACACACACAAGAAAGGAAACTAGCCTGAAAGGCTTCAGTTTTAAAAACTAATAAATGTCATAGCCCACCATAGATATTACAGTGGTAAAGATTACACAGCACATAATGTCTCCAATTAAACTGAATTCTGCATCTTTGTCTCAGTCTGCATAAGTCCTTACCTTCCCTCCCACAAAACCGGCATAAAGAAATAGAAAGTTCAAATTTAAAATTATCTTTGACTTCCACTTTTATGGGAAGACCCCCTTGGTTTCAACTTACCAACCAATTTTTTCAAATGGTGGCCTTATAAAGAAATAAAACCGAATGGCTGTTTTTTCCAGTCAATTACACTCACACAATATTAAAACAAAGTAATTTTGTATATACCTACAATTAAAACTCTTAATAATTCATACTATTTCAAGGTTTTTTAAAGTTCTGTTAGTTTACTTTAAGACACATGCAAAGAAATATAGGTATATTCATTGAATTAAGCAACAATATTAGAGCTGACTGGAATATTTTTGACAAAATTAAATTTAACTGTAGCCAAAAAAACATTTCAAAGAGACATTTGTTTCAAAAGTGATTTTTATCAGGAAAGATGTCATCCAGAGCTCTTTGGTAACTTCAGAGGAGAAAGAAACATGAATCACAAGCTTGGGTTTTCAATTCAAAAATAGATGTTTCAACACAATTTCATTTTGTGAAAAATGTTTGAAAGATTCTGGTTTCATTCCCACATGGAACGCCAAACACATTCTGAAATTCAAGAGTTGCTCTGCAATATAATTGCTAGCCTTCCAACAGTTCTGTTCTGTATTATTCATCCAAATTCATACGCTATATAATCTCAAACTGACATCTAAAGCACCTGAGTAGTGTTCTGGGGTTTCACCTTGGTTCTCAAGACAAATGACAGTGCATAGTTACCTTGTAGTAACATAGAGGGGACAAAGAGAACACTGCTCTGAGTGTCATTGAAAGGTTCACTTGTGGTTACAAATAATCTTTTGGAAACACTTTGTTCTCTTGGCCATGGAGGCTAAAACTAGAGAAGGTCACAGAATCTTGATGACAGCAGCTCTCTCTAACCTTCCGCCTACTCTCAAAGGCTTATAGAGGACACGGGCCAAATCTGGCAGACACAGACTTCCACCAGACTTACACTCCACTTGCACCAGGCCTCAGTTTAGACTCACGGTTTTCCCATATAAGTCATAAGAGAATTATTTATTACTGAAGTGCCTAAAAGTTCACAGGTATGCTGTGATAAAAGAGGCTAAGTGGACTGATTTCTAGCTTGCAGTTCTGATGTGAGCTTGTGTTGTGGTGCTACGGATCACTGAAGAAACCAGGCAGAGGGAAGAACCAGGGTCTCAAAGCCAGAGGCTTGCCTCTTGTGAAACCATGCCAAGGTTAGCTTCAGGGGGAGACCAAACAAGGTTTCTTCTTGGAGTCATGAGGCAGAGCTTTCCCTGAAAAGGGCATGATACATGACAGATGCATTTAAGATAAGACAGCTTCTACTACCCAAAGCATCAAATTCTACAGTTAGCATATAATGCGAGTGCATCCACATGAACTAAGCTTCAGCTTTATTCAGAGTAGAAATTATCAGCATTGTTAAATTGTGTCAAACCACTTGCAGAGCAAGCTGCAGGAAGAAGCTTGGTAATGTGTAAGAAAGAGAATGGAAAAATGAAACTAAGGTCAGAAGTAGTCTATTTTTAGTTTTAAACGCCAAAATGCATCTTGCTATAGCTCTAATTAAGAAAAACATTACATAATCCTGATCCTACACTATAGGATTTTTCTTCAAAATAATCTAATTGTTTCACATGAAAGCCAAGAAAGGTCACTATTACTCTGTATTTACATATGCATTATGTGCAATGGGATATAGGACCCTATGCATCCGACTGCTTATAAGAGAACAAAGAAGAAAAATGACATACCAGGGTGGACTAATAATTTAACAAATACATTTGTCAAAAAATAACTATCAGAATTTGAAAAGCCTTTTTAAATTTTGAACCTTGACATTGTGACCACTGATTCTCCTGCTGGTAGTTTTTACTACAGGAAAGGAGTAGAGTTGGTGGCTTGGGGGCAGTTCTACCAGGCCCAGTATGCTTACTGAGCAACTATGGCCTATGTTATCTGGAGACTGTTTGCCCATGATTTTTAGGTGAGAAAATGAGACCTTTAGCTTGACTACTGAGTGAAGGCTAAGGGTGGGAATAGGCCCAATGTTGTCCAAGAAAACATCAAGGAAAGGATGGAAATGCTGAGGGAAGAGGATGTCATGTTGGCAGGGCATAGGGAGGAAGAGGTATGGAAAATGAGAACTCATAACCAGGGATTCTGATTTTTTCTGATTTAAAAAAATCCCCAATTTTCAGATACAAAAATGTAACCCAAAATCCACATTTTTCTGTGATTAAAATTAAACACCATATATATATTATATATACACACATATACATATATACACACATAATACACACATACACACACGGTGTTTCATTTTAATCACAGAAAAATTTGGATTTTGGGTTACATTTTTATATCTGAAAGTTGGGGATTTTTTTTAAATCTGAAAAAACCAGGATCCCTGCTCATAACTTGCCATCAGTTCCCCAGGCTGGACACTCTGGGTGAGTGTAATTGGCCTCAGGACTCAAAGAGTTAACTATTTTAAACTGCCATAAAGCATGACTGTAAAATCTTTAAAAATATAGACACTCATGGTCATAGTGAAAGGACTGTATCTTGAAACCCTCAATAATTAGATACTGCTGAAGAAAGCTGATAGTCATATGCCTTTTTCAGGGTCAGCTGGGGCATGGGAGAGCTGGAATTTGGATACTTACAAAACAGGCATTTTTTCTTTTTAATTTCAAATATGCCTAACTGCAACATCTAGGTCAGGTAATTCAAACCCAAATCTCCTGGCAGCTCAAAGTGAGTAGCAAATACCAGCTACTCAGCAAATCTTCACTTTCAAGTCAGTATGGCCAGTCTGCTGTAATTTCAACCAGAACTGAATGGGTATTTTCATTACATTCAAACTATCCGAAATCAAAGGCAGAAAGACTAGATTCTTCCCCCAATTCAAACAGCACAGATTTGTGTAAGCTAAGGAAGTATGGGCTGGATGAATTGACTGTAAGGTGGATAGAAAACTGGCTGGAGCACTGGGCTCAGAGTAGTAATCAATGGCTCAATGTCTAGTTGTCAGCTGGTATAAAGTGGAGTGCCTCAGGGGCTGGTTTTTTTCAATGTCTTCATCAACGACCTGGAAGATGGCATGGAGTGCACCCGCAGCAAGTTTGCAGATGACACCAAGCTGAGGGGAGAAGTAGATATGCTGGAGGGTAGGGCTAAGATTCAAAGTGACCTAGACAAATTGGAGGATTGGGCCAAAAGGAATATTATGAGGTTCAACAAGGACACATGTAAAGTCTTGCACTTAGGGCAGAAAAATCCCATGCACCAGTGCAGGCTGGGGACTGACTGCTTGGGCAGCAGCTCTTCAGAAATGGACCTGGGGGTTACAGTGGATAATAAGTAGAATATGAGCCAACAGTGTGCCCTTGTTGCCAAGAAGGCTAAGGGAAGTGATTATTCCCCTATATTCAACACTGGTGAGGCCACATCTGGAGTACTGTGTCCAGTTTTGGGCCTCGCCACTACAGAAAAATGTGGACAAACTGGAGAGAGTCCAGTGGAGGGCAACAAAAATGGTGAGGGGGTGGGGGGACATGGCTTATAAGGACAGACTGAGGGAACTGAGTGTATTTAGTCTAGAGAAGAGAAGACTGAGGGGAGATTTAATAGCAGGCTTCAGCACTTCAAGAGGCTATCGCACTTCAAGAGAGATGCGGATAACCTGGAGAGGGTCCAGAGAAGGGCCACGCATATGGTTAAGGGCTTGCAGACCAAGCCCTACGAGGAGAGACTAGAGAACCTGGACCTCTTCAGCCTCCGCAAGAGAAGGTTGAGAGGCGACCTTGTGGCTGCCTATAAGTTCATCATGGGGACACAGAAGGGAATTGGTGAGGTTTTATTCACCAAGGCGCCCCCGGGGGTTACAAGAAATAATGGCCACAAGCTAGCAGAGAGCAGATTTAGACTGGACATTAGGAA